TCAGAGTGAGTTATAAAGGTGTTGTGGAGGCACCTTGAGCAGTTTGGTGGCCAGTTTCAACACGTTGTTCACCAGGGTCAGCTCCTCCTTCTTGTTTGGCTTCTTCTCCATTTTCAGATACAGGTTGATCTGTAGAAACACAGAGTGGGTGTCAGTGTGTGGAGAGGAGTCTGCTTGGGGGCGGGGATGCATGTGTCTCTGTGTACCTGTTCAGTGAGCAGGATGGAGGTGTTGCTGTACTTCTTGCTGGTCTCAGAGCCCAGCGTGACGAACCTGAGCAGGAACAGAGACAGACTGGAGCACCAGATCACCAGCTCCCAGTTATAGTGACACTCCAGGAAGGTCTCGTGGACGTGCAGCAGCTGAGGGGGTGGGTGGAAGAGGAAGTACTGTTCAGTCTGAGGAGAGATGGGCTTCACTCCAGACCTCAGAGTCAATGCTTTCTGATTGATCCAAAGCCACTATGTGTACATTCCGGAAGACCGCAGTCCATGTGCTGCCCTCTGGAGGAGTTACCTGTGCGCAGCAGATGAAGACGACAGACAGAGTGAGCAGGAAGGCCGACGACACGATCACATCCACCGAGCGCTGAGGACCCCGCCTCTGCAACACATCCAACAGTTATTGGGAATACAGCTTCCAAACAGCTGTGAATGTACCCAACTTCCAAATGTGAACAGAAATTAAAAAGCATGGATGCAATTTGTATCCAGGAAAACAAAGCCCATTGTGATTGTCACTCTCAGGAATACCAGCACAGTGCATTTGAAAAGGGTGTGAGCAGCAGGAGAGACGTACCTTGAGGTAGGAGCGTAGCGACAGCCACATCTTGATGTTCTGGACTTTCTTCAGCCTAAAGTGAGGGACTTCAGACTTCCTGGCTCTGCGGGCTGAAGTCAGGTGACCAAACAGCTTGGCAAACAGTAGCCTCTGAACCGAGCATAACAACATTCATAACAATATCAGACCTGCTAGGAGAGTTCAGACTGTTAGGTACATTCAAATCCATTTCTGTCTCACCTGTTTGTAAGTCCTCTCTGCCACGCTGAGCAGGAAGAAGAAGAGCCATATAAGGCAGACGCGCACAAGGAAGCTGAGTGTTACCATGGTGATCACTAAGGCATCTGATCCAGTTCCGCCCCCCAGAGCCACAGACAGCAGCTCATTGGCTGAGAGAGACGTCAGCTGATCCAGGTCCCGGTACTGAGCCAGCCTGCAGAGCCACAGAGACTGAGGTGAGTTAAGATGCATGTGTATCGACACTTCCTGTTAATAAAGTGGAAATGGCAAACTACAGTTGTTGAGAGGGTTTATGATATGATACCTGTATGCAAAAGGTGTGAGGCCAAGCGTCACTGACACCAGGTTCCCAAAGACCTGGTAACCAATACCAGGAGTGAAGAGATTCACCTGTGAAGGAGAACAACAGAAGTGAGTACCTTCTATAACCGCTCTGTATTTATTTATTAATATTATTAAGGAAGAACAAGTCACTTTGTTCATGATCATGCCGCTGATCTCCAGGACAGACATGTCAGCCTTCTTACAGTCGTTCCCCTCCCACACTATGGCGCTCACTCTCTCCAGCCCGGGGTGAGAGCTGTGCAGCCAGGGGGAGTGACCCTGAGGGGAAGAATACACAAAAGGAAACATCAATGATATGTTCTTACTTCTTTTAGAAGATAGTACTTTTTTTAAGACTAGAAAGCAACAAGGTGTGTCAGTTATTTGAAGGTCAGAATATGTCTGGGTTGAAACAGGGCTACATTTGGTTGAAAATCAAGTCTTAAATATATGTTCCAACAGCTTAAATGACTAATTTAGTGTCAATCAGGTCAGATCTAACTAATTCATAAAGTAATGTGGATACCTATTCATATTTGCAAATCCTCAAAACGTTTCTAAACATTCAATGTTGAGCATCCAGGCCACATGTAGGAGGGTTTACAGACCTGATGGAAAGGGTCGTCTCTGTATTCCTTTTTAGCCGGGGGGCAGACGGGCGTCCCTCCCCCTTCTCCCTCTGTGAAGTCACAGAGTGACAGCATGAGTTTCAGGAACAGCAGAAACATATTGAAATGATTTTTAGCAGGTATCAAACTACGAGCTGTGTGTATGTGGTCCAGCTCCTCTGACCTGTCTCTGAGGTGCAGGAGGACCTGCACTCGGCACAGTGCAGGAAGTCCTCCCACATCAGGTCCTCTGTCTCTGACTCGTGTCGAGTGCTCTCCGAGTCCTGAGTCCTCAGACTGGAACATCTGGAACTGCAGCTGGTGCCAGACTTGGGGACGTCCTGTCAAACAGAAGAGAGGATTGTTGTTTCATGACATTACATGTCACTTGTTCGACTTGTTCAGTCCTGTGGGCAATCCCCACAGGAGCAATGTGCGGTGAAGTGTCTTGCCCAGGGACACAACGACATGCTGACTGCAGTGGGACTCAAACTTGCAATCCCCTGATTCAAAGTTCAGCGCATTAACCCACAGCCTCCCGTTTCGTGAAAAGTTTAAAACAACATCTACTGTTTGTTGTAGCTGATTTACTGCTTTACCTCCACAGCGTAGTGTTTTTTGTAGTGGTGTGTATTCTTGCGGTTTCTGAGCGTACAGTCGCTGTTCATTCTTTCCACCCCCCTTCGGAGAGCTCTGTAGGACGCCTCAGGGTCCTCCTCACTGGACGCCTCGTCTGAAGCTGGCTCCTAAATACAGAACACACATTAGATAAAAAAAGAAAAGGTCTGGAGTGCTCAGAAGTTCAAACAAGTGCCATAAAGATGCTCTTTGGTAAGGTCAGAAGAAGAAAAGGTCCAAGGCACGATGAAGAGTGCCTTGGACCTTTTCTTCTTTTTGGAAAATGTCAGCAAATCCTGAGAGAGTTGTGGCAGTGCTTGTGTCTCTGGGTCACCTTGTTGCTGCTGGCCAGTATCAGCCCCGTGCTAAGGGGGGGCTGAGTGTGCACGGGCGGGACCACAGAGGTCCAGCAGGCCTCGTCAGTCCTGTTCAGCGAATCGCATCGCTGCTCATGGAGCTGAAGCCCCTCCTCGCTGCTGCGATTGGTCACCCGGCCGTCCAGCGACACGTAGCCGTTGTCCGTCTCTGTGGACTTGTCGATGGACAGCTTGGACTTTTTAGATCTGAAGGAGTAAGTGAAAGGGGAAGGGTGGAAGAAAAGCGGGAAAGAAGAGATTGATAGAAAAGAGACGTGTAGATGGACAGATGGATACAGACAGAGGTTTAGATAAACCCAGCTGAGAGACTAACCGGTTCAGACATGAATCACTGACATCATCAAACACAACACTGTGGAACATTCACACAATACACATCCTGTGGATCATTCAGTCAAATAATACGCTAATAAAGGAATGGGTTAAGTGTCTTAAGCGTGAACACTTTTACAAATATGTTTTACTGAATGTAGATGTTTTATTTTTCTGCCTTTTAAAAGATATTTTGATATACTCTGTGCCCTTTAGTTTATTGAATTTATAAATGAGTCTTATGCAACATGAAGTAGGATACATGTGAAAAATAACCTCTCAATAAATAAGATGGTTGAGATTCTAAATTAGAGTTAAAAAGGACAACCAGTGGAGCGTAATGAAGAGGAAGAGGCAGAGGAGGAAGGGCACAGTGTGGCAGATGTAGTGCTCTGGAACGTTCCACAGTGTTGCAGTCTGCTGAAAGCCTGTGGAGGAGAAGCATGGGGAGGAAGCTGCTGACGGAGAAGGTTAAGATACATTTCCAATGATAGACGATCTATTGTTATGGTTTTAGATAATGTATCCTAGCTCGTTGTCAAGGAAAACAACAGGGGCCATGCTTCTCCTGAACACAGCTTGGTCATCAGTCATGCACGTCAAAATCAGCTGCAAAGTCCCTCCGTCCCTCACTAAAAACAGCAGTACTAGATTCTTTCTGTGGATAGTACGTATTTCAGGAACCTAAAGTTGAACAGCCGATGGTCCAATGCTGCTTATCAACATCAGATGTGTTCGGTCAACCTTTGAGAGAGAGCTACAGATGTGAGAGGAGAGGAGGAGATGTTGCAGCTGAAGACTCCCAGGTTAGATCTGAGTCCAGGCTGGGGTTCAGTTCTTAGTAAGATGATTTGAACAAAATGTCATTATTTGATGAAAGTCTAGATTTGGACTTAACACATATTACACCTTAAATTGGTTAATGCTAGAAAAGGTTAGCGAACTGAACCCCGGTCCTGTCTTTGCACAGCATCTCATTTTAGGAAGTTGTGAAACGAAATACACACCCAGCTTTACAGATATCATGCCAGAAATCTTGGAAGAGAGTGCCCAGGCTGTATGTGCTGCTGGCTGAGTGGGAGTGTGGCGCCCCCTCCTGTGTGTTATCGGTAGTGCTAGACCCGTCGCCTTCCCTATGCACCTCCATCTGAGAGGCCTTCCTCAACTTCCTTCAGTTTGGAAAGAATAGAAGGTGGAGAGACTTAGAGGGTCCTGGAGACTAAGAAGACTTTGAGCTACAGCAGGGTGTCCCGCGGGGCCAGGCTGCCCCCCCCACTGTCCTTTAACCAGCAGTCATTAAACAGCAAAGAGATGGAAACTACACCCCAGGCCCCGCTGGACACAGGCTGATACAGTTAAAGGCTGGTTCTACCAAAACCATCTTTTAGGTTGGTTTCTGCAAAAGTGGATGTTTTTGTAAAAAAAATAAACTTGTTAGTTAAATGTATTAGTTTTCCAAAATAAGAGGCAATTTAATATTAAGAAATGTTTTAGTCATCTCATGTGTCTCCATTTCATTGGAGACAATATTTTGGCTTAAAAAAAAAATCACTGAAAAGGAAAACTATTCCAGCTTCAAAAAGGTTTGATGTGGGAACATCACATTTAAAACTAATTTTGTGAAGAACTTTTTGTTCAATGTCGAACTTTTGCAAGATTTGAACATAAAAGTTAGATTTTTGCAGAATTGCCCCCTGAAGATTTGATTAAAGGACAAAGAGTGGGGAAGAACTGGGTCGTTGTCTTTTGATTTTCAAATCAGAAAGCAATATCAACAGGATGCTAAAAAAAGCCTTCATCTGTCACTGCTAATAAATAATTGCTGGGTATGAATCATTAGATTGCACCGTGGTCTGCCTTCTGCTTCTTTATGAGGTGAAATATCAATAAGACTAAAAAGAGGAAAAGAGACAGAGAAATGTAAGAGAACTAGAATCAGCTTTGTGTAAATATCTTTGACCCAGAGGCTGATTCAGTGAAGGAGCAAACACCGTTTCCTCGCTCCCTCTCAAAACCCTTTCCAAAACTGCGGCATGTTCCAATTTTCTTCCCAAAGAGTCTGAAAATTGTCTTCAATCATCGTGAACCAGAAACGGCAGCCGCACACTGACAAGCTTCAAACCACAAACTTCGCTTCTAAAAGCTAAAAAACACTCACATCAAGGGGAGCAAACTACTTTCTACTTTCACACACATGAATCCCATTTGTCTAACAGTGACATTAGATTTATCATGGAGAGATTCTTAGACAATCATGCCTTACTTTATGCCTAATTCTTGATCAAAGATCCTTTAAAAAGAACATAACTGTTAGAATTACACACAATTCAAATAATGAATGGAGTCATAAATCTGAAAACAGTCTGTTGACAGAATGTCTCCATGATAAAGACCCTTGTATTCAGTGAGAGAGGAATCAGGACAGACAGACCTATTCATGCTTCTGTTTCCACAGCTTTCCTCTTCTCTTTCTCTAGCTCACACTTTTCTCGCCATGTTCCCAGTTCTCTTCTAGTGCCATGTTCTGGGTGTCGTGTCCTCTAATTTTACAGAAATGGAAAAAATATGAATCTATTTCTAGCATCAACAGCTTCTCCCACTCTCTCTGCTGGATCTATCCTTCCTCCTTCCCCTCTCTCTGTCACTTGTCACGTTCTGCACTGTTTTCCATGGACAGGTCTCCCTGTTTCTTTTCTTTCCTCCGCCTACCTGCGTCTCTTCCCCCCGCTGCTGGAGGCAGGTTTGGGCGTCCTGGTGGAGACGATCTGACAGTGGACGGTGCCGAGCAGCAACATGAGCCAGATGGCTCCAAACACTTCGGTGGTTGGTATCCCATGAGGCTGTGGGATGATCACATACAGGACTGCTGCTGCCGCTGCAGAGGAGAGGAGGACAAATGGCCTTCATTACAACATTACACACTCTGAAGCTCTTCACAGCTTTGGTTTTCCTGTTTGCACTGCCTGGTTCAGTCACACCGCTTCAATCATATGGACTTCCATTCGTCTCACACAGGCATGCAGGAAAGGAGGTCAAGGTGCTCGGGATCCACGTTTTACTCTGGGAGTTTGAGTGACTGTGAGACTCACATTCATCAGGTGTCACGTGGGATGCATGTGTTGCTTTGTGTCTGCTCCGTGTGGCACTAAGCAACTGTTTGCTAACAGAATTCTTTGTTTGCGATTGGGTGTGTTTGATATTTCTGCTCCCTCGCAGCCATGAACGCTTGCTGAATCTGGTAGTAAATCAGAGAGAAGTTGTGTGTGTGTTTTTATGCTGCATGTGTGGGAAGTGAGCAGGAAGTGAGGAGGATTCAAAAGAGACATTTTAACTGCAGATTAGACGCAGAGTATCAGCTGCTGAACGTCCTGTGAAATAGCTCCTTGGTTAAAGACTTCATCTGAGGACTGATTCCTGCATGGATACTAAATTCATCAGTAATATTGTTGAAAGGCGATGCAGCAGCTGGCCTCTTAAGCCTTGAACGTCATAGTCCCTTTCAAAAAAACAAATGATACGCAGTTTTGCAACAGTCTTGTAACAAATAATAAACCACACACACACACACACACACACTGGCACACATACCTTGCAGCAGGTAGAGAGCCAGCAGTAAGAGGAAAATGGTTCTGGAGGTGACCTGGATCCACCATCGATAAAAGAAGGGGAAGCAGACCACTCGGACCAGGCCCTTCCGAGTCAGGGACGTCCACGGACTCTCTGGCTTGGCCTTTGCAAAGGCCGAACCTTCAGAGGAAGAGAACAATGACTTTATTTTAACATTCAGCATGATCTTTCTCCTTCAGTATGTTTTTTTCTACAGATCTCCCTTCTTCTATTCATCTACTCTCATTCTTCATTTCTTTCTTGAGTATCTATTCAGTCCAACCGTGAAACTATTTAACAACAAAGGATACATTTGATTGAAAACAGACACCATTGTATGGGCTCAGAACAGTCTCATAATACACACATGCACACAGAAGGATTCACACTTGTGTTTTTCAATGTACAAATGTGTTCCGTTTCATATACATGTAAATAAAATCCAAATACAGAAAAAAGTTTTACATGTGTATTTTTGATCCTCACATATTAGTTTTCCGTTTAAAATCCCCTGAACCTGCAAACAGCTTCCTGTGCACGGATCGCTGTGCATTCGTGTGTGGGTTTTTTGAGACTCCCCCGACGGTCAGCCGATTCGTACTTGTAATTATTTCTATCTATAGCCAATCAGATGTCTCCTTCATTCTAAGCCAATCACATGAGCGTGCTCCCACGAGGGTATGATTTATTGCGACGGCTGACCGTCAGGGGAGTCTCAAAAAACCCACACACGAATGCACAGCGATCCGTGCACAGGAAGCTGGTTGTGTTGCAGGTTCAGAGGTTTTAAACGGGAAAACAAATATGTGAGGATCAAAAATACATATGTAAAACTTTTTTCTGTATTTGGATTTTATTTACATGTATATGAAACGGAACACATTTGTGCATTGAAAAACACAAGTGTGAATCCTTCTGTGTGCATGTGTGTATTATGAGACTGTTCTGAGCCCATACAATTTGTTCTCACCTCTAACCAAGTCCACGTCTATAAGGTCAGGTTTGACATGTCCTGTCTTCTTTGGCTTGTTCCTCAAGCCCTGCAGGGGGAGACAGAGAGACACAGTCAATAATACACAGATTATTAATAAACACATATTGACACACACAGGATCTACAGGAGGCTTCTCATGCACTTTATGCCTTCATGAACACACACACAGTCAGTGTTTGAGGAGGCACGCCGTGCATTCAGGCTCACACAGCTACTGGCTCTATTCTCCATTTCACGGCATCTACTCACAAACACTAGACTTTACTGATCTGGAATGCTTGAACTTTATTGCATTAAGCGGGTCTGATTGTAAACATCTCTTTTGCTGCTTTCCACGAGGATAAAGGGAAAACATGCGTCATTTCTCAGAGGTCTGCAGCAGCCTCCGCCAGCCAGGTTCTCTCCAGCAGCTTCAACATGGCGCTGTGTGCGTTGTATGAGCCAGGCTCTAACACGGGGGTGGGCAAACTTTTTGGCTCGGGGGACACTATGACTTTTAAAATTTGACAGATGGGCCGGGCCAGTAGATATTTAGCTGTCCACTCCTCATTAAACACTCGGCACTCATTGTCGACTTTTCTTTTCTTTGGTCCACTCATTGTTACTGATGCAGGTTCAAAGGTGAATTATTGTGTCATTGCGTCATGACGTAACCGTTTAGGTGTCTTCTTATGACCCACACAGCGTTTTACGTCGCTGATTTTCACCGCAACACCGCTCACAACAACATCAATAGAGGACTGCGTCGGGTAGTTTTTAATCATACGAAGCCAGATTAAATTAAATAACTACTTCTCCAACCTTATACCTTTCTCCAGAGTGCCGTGGTTCATTGTTTATTAATGTGGTTCAGCGGCATTACCGACAGCATTACCGCCCGCATTACCGCCCGCTGCAGCGCTGCTCGTCCACCGGAGTTTATTGTCCCGTTAACTCGCGGCAGCGGACGCTGTAAAGTATTCACTGTCTGACTGTCACACAAGCAGCTGATAAATATCCCCCATCCCCATAAGTGAATGTGTTTTAGTCTGAAAGCTGTTTGGCATCACAACGCTGTTATGAAAGTTTCTCTGGCATTCTACAGGTGATGTTAGCATAGCAACCAAAGCTAATCAGACTATCTTGACTACTTGTTGCTATCATATTGTGGCATAAGCCGTTTTCTACACGCATATTTTACCGGCGTAGTTTTCGTTATGATTTGACTTGTGATGGCCACATGTAGCCCATGTATTGATCCGATAGCTGCAATAATACAAAACAAGGAAAACGTCTGCCTCTCCACAATGGTCAATAACAGTGAACGGATGGTTATTAAAGTAAGGTCAAATAAACAGGATCACACTAAGCCTGGTTAGTGTTGCCTGACTTTATATAAGTGTGTGGTCGCGTTCTAGTCAATTTGCTCAGCGCTACTGCTTGTTACAGCTTGTACTCGCCATGAACTGTTATTGCTCAGGTTAATCTCGACCACTCCAATGTAAGCGTGACGTATTTGGTTCTTAGATCTTGCCGGGTTGCCGAGTGGGGCCAGAGAATAGACCAGACTCCAGCAAAGGTCAATTGTGTCTAGAGTGCGCCATCTAGTGGGATCAACTGAAATGCCGGGTATTGCAGGAAAAAGGCTAAATGAATGCAGTCTTTACTATCATTTGGACCATTTTTTACCAATATATGGCGGGCCAGATTAAAAAGCCCAACGGGCCGTATTTGGCCCACGGGCCTTAGTTTGCCCATGCCTCTAACACCCCCGTGGCACGCTGACTTCCTGTGCCAACTAGTCCTTTCCTTCTTACGCTGCACACACACGCATCATCTGTGTGTGTGAGACTGCTCTCTCAGCCATGTTGACAAACTTTCCTGAAACTTTTATTGTTCGCTCTAAATGATTCATTTACATCAAATGTGGTGCAGGACAGCCTTCCTCTGTGAGTGACAGCACTCGTGAAATTGAACATTTTAAAAAGGTGTGCGTTTGCTTTTGTGTGCTCTACGGTGAGCAGCCTGACAATAGTTTAGATTTGATGAACAACATGTGAAGACAAACACACTCTGCCCAGCCCCATCCAAACTAATCGCAATTCATTTTGAGACTACATTACTCTGTCAAATGTTTTAGCCTGATCTTCTGAAGAGTTTGAACATTAACAACCATTCACAAGTGTTGGCTTCTTTAGTTTCATGTGAAAGCGGAAAACATTTGACTCAAGTGCAGTATTGACGGCGTGGTGGTTTCTATGAGGAAGCAGCAATATCTGAGGTCAGGCAACTGGTACTGCTCTAGTATTGAAGACAGTGTAGTATCTAAAGTATTTCTATTTGTTGTATTAGCACAACAAAATCAGGTATCATATCTGGACCGGTATTGAAATCTTTCAAACTATTCCCAGCGCTACTGGAGGGTTTCATTATCAGTGTACAGAGAAACTACCTGTGTATACTGTACATTTCACATTCATTCAAATAACAGCGCTGTCCAGTTAAATCTGATCGGACAATATTTACATAGAGGTCAATCAGGTTCTGTGTTATCAGTAAATGGTCTGATACAGAGGCATGATGGGGGCCCTTATCTACAGATAGCAACACCAATGAGCTAATACGGAGTGCAAGTATGTGTGTTTGAGACAGACAGGGAAACCGTGAGAAAGGAGAAAGGTGTGTGTGTGTGTGTGTGTGTGTGTGTGCAGGGCTGAAAGAAGCCGATCAATAAGTTCCTGTTGGCGGTGGAGTTCCCGCAGCAGGAGTCCTTCACACACACATCTCTGCTGCCACAGCGCTTATCTCTGTGCTATTCACAGTCTCTCTGTAACTCCTCCTCCAGTTACAAGATGTCGCTTCAGTGGTTGATCCAACATGAATGTTTTGTACAATGTGCAAGATTGCGTTTATTTATTCATTCAGCGTTATGTTTAACTCCTGAATGCCTACACCCACCATTTCTGCTTACTTGAATAGCCTAGTGTAGTTCAAGCATACTGCTGTCTTAATCTGATTACTCTGCATTTGTGTGCATGCATTTAAACGTAGTCGGTGCACAGCTGGAAATACATTTTCTACATTATATGACCGTTAAGCTCATATTGCAAGTTTTAAATCAAATCTTGTTTTTTGATTTGTCAAGTATTTATTTCACAACAGTATAAACACATACACTATGACTATTTTGATTTATTTACGATAAAAACATGCTTAATTGTGACATTAATTTGTATAGATTTATGAAATGACGCACGTGTCGCTACCTATATGGAGATACAATATATTGCAATAACAAACAAAAACATATTTCAGTTCTCTTTCTTTGCTTATTGGTCTTTATCCGTTCTGTTATTACATATTGATAATGCTTGCTGCAAATAAGCATTGCACTTTGTTGTATAAAAATAAATCTAGAGTATTATAAAGACTTAAATGATGACATCCCTGCCGGATCAGCTGCTAAAATCAGTGCTTTTTATAGACAGCTGAATAGATGTATGAGAAGAATTGGTGGATCTAGATATTTAAGAGGCTGTAAACAGTACAGTTAACACCCTATAGGGCTGAGGAGGGGACACATCGTATATCCATGCCAAGAGAAACTGTCTAACTCTGGGAACCAATCACTGCACTGACCAAGAAGCAAGGTCACAGCGCTGTGTGTGTCTGGACTTTGAGCTCATTAAACAGAGTGGTACAGTAGGGGAGGGGGGGGGGGGGTAAGAGTAGAGATGGCACAGAGAGTAGAAACGGCTCATCAGTTGCTAATGCAATGTATACGTAGACACTCTTTAATATGTCCTGGAACTGTGATAACATTACAAAGTGATATCACAAAGCAATAGAACAGGGGGCAACAAGATCAGTGTCCTAAAAAACCAAATGATCATTACTGGAGTTGTATTTTGGGTGAGGTTAGTGTCAGGTCATTTATACGAGTTCGGCTTGATCTGTTTGGAACCAATGAGCTATTTAATGAAATGAGTCACGTTTAGGAGGCAAGACGAGGCAACGCAAGTTTATTTATATAGAACCTTTCAAAACAAGGCATTTCAAAGTGCTTTAGAAAAATGAAAGACAGGAGGTGGTTTTCTTTCAAAGTGTCTCCAATTCGTAGTACTACTAACATGTATAACTTCTATTTTGTTTTCATAAGTTGACTTCATCTTTACATTTCACCCTTTAGTTAGATGTTCATCTACATAACTTGCCATCTTTTCTTTTTTAGCACTGTTATTATTGTTTGACTGTCTAATTTGATGGTAGAACAATGATATGTTGCCTTATGTTGTAGTGTTATTTTTGGGAATGCAGGTTTCCTTCTAAATACAGTCTGCAAATCACACAGGAAGGACATGAAGCATGTGCACATGTTCTCTGTGAACTAGACACTGGAATACACCTCTCTACCTGATCTTGTTATGTCTAGTCCTGGATAAACAGTCCGCACTGACAGGTCACATACACAGTTAGATAACTGAGAAAACTGTTTGGTCTTTCTTCAATCTCGGATATTAACTGACCTTCAAGAAGTCCGGAAGACCTTAAACTGAAAACTGCTGCTAGGAGTGAAAGAAGACTAATGTTTCTGAGCTAATCCAGCTGTGTGTTCACACCACAGGCCCCCGTCTGGCTGCAGATGTACTTTAAGGAAACAGCCGGTCACAAAGCAGTGTTGCTACAGTGTGAACACAAAGTGGGGATATGAAAACACACTGGGGTTTTGATAGGCGACTGAAATGAGCGATCAAACCAACCAATCACAGTCTAGTAGTCTACAGCGTGGGTGAGCAGACGTGCACTGTGGGACAACAAGAGGGACGTCCTCCCCGCTGCATACTCACCAGAGAAATAAACTGTAGAGAGGAGGAGGAAAAGACGGATGGAAGAAGGAGGGGGTGGAGATGGAGATGAAGAGAGGAGAGATGGGCAGGTGACACCCAGCCGTGAGGGCAGAGAGGGAAGAGTTAAAAGAAAACACTGGAAAGGAACTGGCAGCATGGTGAGAGACAGCAAGAACTGAACAAAATGAAGAAAGATGGAGGAAAGTCAAAGAGAGGACAAAACAATGACTTGGCAAAGGGGAGCCAAAATAACAAAAGACTTTTAAAATAAGAAGAAAAACACAAACAGGAAAATGAGATGAAACAACAGAAACACGGAGCAAACCAAGGATAAAACAAGCGTACCTTTATTTCTCGCTGCTCTACTGATTTCTCCCATATCTGTTGGTCATAGGCGCCAATCTGGAAACAAGAGAAGGGATTAAAGATGGATTATAGAGAGAAGAGTAACAGTTTGTTTCGTACTGGAGTTAACAAGAAGAGGAATTAAGATGTGAAGGATTTCTTAGACGCACTATTGAAGCTTCACTTCCCCTCACCGAAGGATCAACATATACTAAATAAAAACAACAATTATCTCATGAAGTCAAAGGGAACTGAAGAAACTTTCGGCTGCATCATTATCGTGACTAAAAGCCAGATTATATCTCCATAACAAAGGATTTTCAAGATAGTGATGAGTCTGCAAACACATGTCATTATGGTGTGGCGTTTTGTTTTGTGTGGGATTCAGGATTGAAAAGCTCTTGCTTCACAACTGGAGCCGTCATGATCTCATTAAACAATGATTACAGGCGTGACGGGGATGATGATATACGCTGATCAATCTTTGCATCATAAATTAGGACAAGAGTCTAGCATCTGTGTTTAATTCTTACCAAAAACTGTAATTAACACACCTCTTTGCACTTTAATACAATCCTAAGTAGCTTTAAAAAGGATCCTCTTGTGCCACACCTTATGACAAATAACATATGCTGTACCAACTTGTTTTACATTTCATTGAAGCTTCATTAACGAACATTCAACCCAAGAATGTATTTATGCTGTTTTTTTTTTTTTTTAAATCAAGGTTTCTGTGAATGTGGAGATATTCAAGACATCTTGTAGGCTTCCACATTTTATTCTCATTTCCCCTGGAAACTGTCCAATATTTTTGCTAGCTTTTAAAAAAGGGAAAAACGACAGAGGAACAGGAGAGCTACGTCACCAGGGACAACATTTCACCGGCAGTGTGAGTTGACTTTGTGTTAATCATTCAGCTTTTATGCTCCAGATATGTGGAACCAACTCTTAGAAAACTGCAACTCCGCCGCCACCCTTTTTTAAAACCAAGCTGAAAACGTTCATTTTTTCCGCTGCTTTCGATTAAATCAACTAACTTATAAATGTAATTTTATAAATGTGTTTCTGTTGCATTATATCTTAATGCCTTACCTCCCTATATGCATGGTATCTTTAAGGCCATAAGTGGCATTGTTTAACACTAACATACCTTTTAAACACACACACACACACACACACGTGGGGAAATGCATGCAGCACCACCTGTCACAGAGATCAATAGACCAGTGTGTGTGCAGAGAGGGGAGGGTAATACACACTTAAGATGTATGAGTGATACTCGAAAATTCAGTGTGTGTGAGATTGAAGCACGACAGAGATGGACAGAAGGTGCTGTTATTTTGGGGACAAGATAGGTTTGTACTATGTCAGATATGACCAGAGGCCTATACGATGAAGCCGGATTTTTGCTTAACGAGCTAACTTCAGGGAAAACTCTGGGTTTCCGGTCCTACGACGCTGGTTCACTTCTTAGCAGGCTAGATCTCCATGGTAACTTATGTTGAGCGGCAAACCTGGGGCCTATACTACGAATCAAGTTCAACCTATCCTGGATATGTTTTGAGTTATCCGGTTGACTTAATCCAAAACAAAGCCGCTCTCGCTAAACTGTCCTACGACGCTGGCTATCAACTCGTTCGCTGAAGCCAGCCGTGTCCTATCTAGTTAGGTGCGCGTTCACATGAAAGGGGTGGTATCTCTGGAGCATTCGACCAATCACAAACATGGAGAAGCGTACTGACAGCGCAGCGTCATACTTCCTGAAGAAAAAGTCAACTATAATATTAGTCAAAAATGAAGAAGTTAAACTTTAAACATCCATGACTTAAACACTTTATCCAGGATCAAAGCCACATAGCTGCACCTGCAAGGTGAATACAGCTGGTAAAAGAACAAGTGTTTGAATGCGTACATTAACAGGTTTATGATATCACTGCCCCGTCTAAAACACGATCTGACTTTAATTACATTTGACTCGAGTGTTTCCTCAACTTAATGTGTTGCTTAAAATAATAGGCTATACAGTATGTGACACTGTGAGTGTTGCACGGCCAGATACGGCTCAGCTGACTCAGATAAGGAAATATATGATACATTATGATGTGATATGCCGCGGACTGTACTTAATGTTACTTTGATCCGGTTACTTATGTTGTGGCAGATTTTTAAGTAAGCTTTCTTAACGCTAACGTTATAATAGTCAGATTGCTCTGAAGATGGGAGGTGATATTCTATTAATGTTCACGTTCACACAGACGGTGATTTGAACTGCAACGGCAGTTTAAACTGTATTTCCTTTATCCTGTAATATGACTTGATCGCTTTAAACCAGGGGTGGGGAACCTTTTTCCTCTCAAGGGCCATTTCAATGTTTTCAACATCCTCCGAGGGCCGTACAAATTATTGACCTCTGCTTAAAAATACTAAAATCACAGCCCATTCATTTGGCCTTTCTTTCATGCTGTGCAAAGAAAAAGCAACCTCTAAATCCAGATATCTCACCATGACTCACGCATGCACGCGCACGGTGTGGCATGACCACCAAACAGAAAGATGTGGACACAAGATGTGTGCTAATTAGTTTCCTATCCATGTGAACATGATTTAAGTGTGGTGGGGGGGACCTAACCTCCTCTAGGGGGGTCCGGGGGCATGCTCCCTGGGAAGATTTGTTTTTAAATATTGAAGTTAAAAGCATCAATCTGGTACACTTTGAGAGCAACATTAGGAGACGGCCGGCAAAAATCACCGACTGTGTGAACGTGAACATTAATAGAATATCCCCTCCCATCTTCAGAGCAATCTGACTATTATAACATTAGCGTTAAGAAAGCTTACTTAAATATCTGCCACAACCATACTTGCCAACCCTCCCGATTTTCGCGGGAGACTCCCGATTTCATTGCCCTCTCCCAGTTTCCTCCCGGGGTCATATTTCTCCCGCATTTCTCCCGATTTCTGACAAAATCAGATTTACTCAGGACTGTTTCCACTCGGACTTTAATACAGCTACACCATCGTTTGGTTTCCATGGTAGCGCGTCTCTTTAGTAGTGCGCACAACTGACAGTCTGAGAGGGTGAGGAAGAGAGTCACAGTAAACTGAACAAGAATCGACAACTCTACCCTCTGCTCACTCCTTTCCATACTACAGGCCGCAAGACAGTGCACTAACAACTACAATAAGCATGTTAATGTTAAGCTAATACAGCTCCGGCGATCCCCCCCCCCCCCCACCCGGTGGTTTTGAAATATTCCCGATTTCTGAGGTCTCAAGGTTGGCAAGTATGGCCACAACATAAGTAACCGGATCAAAGTAACATATAGTCTACAGTCCGCGGCACTGTGCGTGCAGACGTCGATGTGTCCCATTATCATTCATATCACATCATAATGTATCATATATTTCCTTATCTGAGTCTGCTGAGCCGTATCTGGCCGTGCAACACTCACAGTGTCGCATACTGTATGCAGAAGTATTATTTTAAGCAACACATTAAGTTGAGGAAACACTTGAGTCAAATGTAATTAAAGTCAGATCGTGTTTTAGACGGGGCAGTGATATCATAAACCTGTTAATGTACGCATTCAAACACTTGTTCTGTTACCAGCTGTATTCACCTTGCAGGTGCAGCTATGTGGCATTATAATTCATATCACATCATAATGCATCATATATTTCCTTATCTGAGTCAGCTTCTTGGGCCGTATCTGGCCTCATGGTCACAATTAGCAGATAACCTTCTGCTTCCATTGATGAAATTGAAAGAGAGCACAAGGTCGCTGGGAGTCACATCATTTAGTTTCTTTACTTTTCTCATAGTGTGAGTGTTTTCAGAGACTTAACAGGATCAGCTGATGATCTGACCTCAGCAGATCAGTGTATTCATGCAAGTGTGTGTGTGTGTCTGCAAGGCTTTGATTCTGGGTCACCCTGCGTTCCTGCCAGTGGAAAGTGTGCATCTTTAATGAGACTTCATCAACGATGCATAGAAAGAGAGGAAGGGGGGGTCATTGATGAGGAAAGGAGAACCCGGAGAGACACGATTATTTATTTTTCTCTTTCATAGATACTTAAAACTAATAGAGGACCATGTCAGTGTTTGTGCTTTTACTTTAATAGCCCTGATGACTGGTATCTTGTGGTTAACAGGGGATATCACCCGTGTGAGATGTGGGTCAGGCAGTGAGTCACATTGAGCCGTGCTGCGTCTCACCCTTATCTCAAGCACAACTTTGATTTTTAAAGTGTTCTACCATTTAGAGCAGGGATGGGCAAATGGCTGCCCGGCGGCCGCACCTCCTCTTTTTGCGGCCCTCAGATTAATTTATAAACAACGTAATTAATACAAATTTTTTTTTAAAAATATATATATTTTATTTTGTTTTACGTTTAGTACTGATAACGTCCACTAGACTCCTAGTTACGTCACGAGCTGCGTACATGATTTCGTTCAGCAGCCAAATACTGCGAAATAATCTGTGACGTGTTTGTGTGTAATGCGTTTGTTTCCCGGGGAAACTCAAAAGAAACACCGGCTGTTGTTATGCCAGCTGTGACGTTAAGTTACCGTTTGTAATTATGCCTTTACAAGCTTAAAAGTTGTATTTATCATATTAATTTGGCGAAACAAGTTTAATATTCTAAAAAAGGAAATACAATACAAATATTTGTAGGACTATTTATATTGTGTTGCATGGTTGAAAATGTTTCATATCTTGTATTTTGAGGCAAAAAACGGTTTTAATTAGGTCAACTAAAATATGCGTCATATCCGGCTGCAGTCCCGCACCAGCGCCTTTTCTTGCAGGCCAATAACCTGACCTCCGGCTCGATGAGCGAACTATGGATAAATCAAAGAAAATAAAAGTATGGGAGGAACACAGAGGGTTTGATTCTGCGTGGTTAGAGTTATATGCTTTCACAGCAAACGATGCTGGCTTACCGGTATGTTTGATATGTGGAGAGAAGTTGTCAAAGGTGCTGCAGCCTTTACGTATCGAGGAACAACACGGAAGAGGAAGACAGCTGACGATCTTCAGTTATCATTCAATCAG